CAAACATCACCTCAATAACCCACGCACAACATCCGCAGCTATTTTTAGTTTAAGTGCTTGTATATTTCTTTAACATATGCTTTCACAAACAGCAACTTTATAACAGGTCAGCTTTGAAAATAGCATAAGTTAAAGTCTAGGACCTTCGACATGACGGCTTCAAGTTGTTTGCATGTTCCACGTGAACATGCTATGTACGGTGCGAAATAAGTTCAACGTGAAGAAGAGAATATTGATTCAAATTAAGTAATTGATCTCGTGTGTGTGTGTACTTGTTCTCCAAGTAATAGACGGTTCATTAAAATCAATATTGTATCATCGTTCTCCGTGGGACGTGTTTACCAATAAAATGAGCGGTGTGTGACATGGAACATTTTAATGTGTTATTTGTATGGAAAAGTTTGATAAACGTGGAAAGGCGTGCCATGGTGGATTGCGAGGACTGGGACTTGGGACACTCTATGGAGCGTATCCACTGGCTCGTACTATTTAATGTATATGCATTCTACCCAGTGGTTAAAGCAGACGTAACAGGGGGAATTTTAGGCAAAGGGGGGCAAGGATGGGAAGGCAGGTATGGGCAGTCGACACATTTCATTGACCAATATCCACCGTCAAGCCTCCATGTACAAAGTTAAGTTATGCTTATGTCAAATTTATATAACTTAAATAACTAAAAATGTTCGATAAGCAGACCACTTGATGGGGACACATAAGCATTTCCCTTGTGTCCCCTATAAAATGCACCATGGATTGGCTTAGGGGGCCAAGTTATCCTGCACACTGATTGCACTCACCCAATACAGGGAGGCCTTTCCACCCACTTGGTCATTCATGATTTGCTCTCTTTCACTTGACCCACACTCCATCCCGTTACAAATCCACTCTCCCTTCCTCTCACTTTCATTCCCAATTTCTCACCATTTCACTCTGCACCTCCGATTAGCACGGTTGGTTACGTACGGTGTGAAATAAGTTCAACATAGACACAACCAACACCTCTGCAGTCTCCTGAACACTTAACATTTTCCTGCCACTTTCCCACTCATTCTTTCACCAATCACGTTCTCATACTCGTCTTCGTGTTGGCATAGCACCCGTCTCACAAGGTTGCAAGTTCAAGATCCCGGTCATTGCTGTGGGGTCAATAACTTAAGTACCTCTTTGTGGGAAGTCAACATCGATTGTTTACACAGCAGGGAAGTTACATTTCCACTATGGGCTCAGGAGCAATGGAACGCCACCTAACCGATGGTTGAGAAAGTGGACACACAAACAAAATCCGGTCATCCAGCAGTATTATGACCCATATGCCCCATAAGCCCCCGGCTCTCGCATAAACTGCGTTGCGACGTCAATTTATGTCTGTTGAAGGCGAACGAAACGGCAATCTATTTCTCTCGACGAGCTCTACACGATGCGCTAATCAAAGTTTTGTTTCTTCTGCGTATTCGTCCTTGCTGCGCTTGGACGACGTGACAACAGAATGATCCGCGCCAGGTGGGTCGCGACGTTTAAGTGCGCGTAGGGACGGAGTCGCTAAAAATAAATTCAATAATTACGATTTTGACTTACGTTTATTCGGGACCCCGATGGTCCCGCCATAAGGTTCAATTTTGTCAAGCCAGCCTGACTGCTGATGATACCCAGAAGATAGAAACGGGCTCAGAATTTGCTTACATAAACAAATGCTGCTGGATAATATTGGCCTTTAAAGCCCACAGGACGGTGAACTAACACATAGTTTACTTACATGTGGAGAATGGAGCATTGCTGAGATTTGAGTTTTAATGCGTTATGTATACACGTACTGGTTGCGGAGCTGTACTGTGTGGTTGTCGGCAGAGGGCAGTGCAGAAAAATACATTGTTGTTGTCGTGTACCTCTATGCTCCCACGTCTATACTCCTCACCTTCACTAACCCGCACGAAGCAGCATGGTCAAATATGGTGAAATAACCCCCCTGATCCGTACAGCGTGGGGAAGCTCTCATCCGACAGTGGATTGATAACAGATGTAGGGCGGTATTCTGTACTGGGAGTCTGCGGAAACAAAAAACAATTGCCACCGTGTGTGGTTAGGGTTGACATATTTTAGGTAGAATAAGCGGGGATATGCCAGTGTAAGACGATTACCTCACAAGACCTGAAGAGGGGAGAACTACTTGTAAATGCGAAGTTTTCAGCCGTGGATTATGATGCTGTTGATAAAAACTGGAACCTTGAATGACTCGTTGGAAAAAACACAGGAAAGGCGGTAACTTGTGTGCGGTACACATAGAGTTGTGTGTTTTGTTGGTGTAGTGTGAGAATTATAGATTTGAAGTTTTCGTGACTGCAAGGATCCATACTCTTTGGTTCTTTCGGTAAAGTCACATAGGTGAAAAAAACAAATTCACCTACGTGACTTTACCGAAAGAACCAAAGAGTATGTAGTGTGAGAAACAATGACGATCTCTCTGAAGGTTATGCCTATCCCTGGGCACTGTGGCTGTGACAGACACTTTCATTTCGAAGGCCTTTGCAAGTAGGGTGAGGACACGGATTTAGTTTACACCTTGAAGCGTGCACTCGGCACTGCTCCGGTCCCAACAACAGTTCAGTGTCAGTGAAATTAGTAACCAAATGCGACGCTTTACAATGGGACAGAGGTGGGCCCATTCCGGTTGTGTCGCACCGCTCGTGAGCTCCTTACAGTTGTGTAATACAGTTCTATTATAGTCAGAGTGATTAGTTACTGAACTTTGTTTCTAACTAATGGTATTCATGCTGTTCATGATTTATACGATTTTTTTATCCAACGTAATTTCTTGGAATTATTTGTCATGCACAGTACTATCATGTTTTCAAAAAGATTTAATCCCCCAAATAATTGTATCCAAATTATTCAATAGCCATCAATACAAAATGTGGATAAACAATCTTTTAGAATTGCTTCGCCTCGTACAATATAAGATCACTTCAGGGAACAGCCCTGGAAAAAGGAGACAATGTCAAGATTTGATGGAATGTGTTCTTGAGTCTCTCTTACCCAACACTGGACGGTGCTCCTTCTAATTCACTCTTCTTGACCAAGGGCTGAGCTGACAGCCCAATTGAGAGGGGTGACTGTCTTTTATTCCTCCGAGGTCAATAAAATTAATACCACTTTGTGTAAATTCAGCACTGGGTCACTCTGGACTTTGTATTTGGAATGTGGAATTTCAGCCATCAGCCAACGGTGATAATAGTTCATGAGCCCAGAACAAATATTATATTTGTCGGTACCACCTGAAGTGGCATTACATTTATGTTTCCAGTACATTACGTGATAACCATTCGAAATTGGTGTTATCAGAATATTCACTCGTATTAGCTTTATAAATACACTGTACTCCTACAGTTTTTATTTCTACTCTTGCTTCATTGACTATAAATGGAGATATGCACCACTTCATTGCTAACTTGAACAGGAAGACATGGCTTGTATATTTGTATCATAAGGTATCACTTTAAACAAGATAAATATACTGTACGGTATTTTATTTTTCCTCAACATTAAAGATGCTGCCATGATATAAAAGCACAACTGAACTTGCAATCCAGAGATTGTTGGTTCCATGTCCTGGCACGGCAGTTCAACAAGGTGCAGAGATCTTACATCTCCAATCTGTCCACTCAGCAGTATAAATGGGTACACCACAGTTCGTTGAATGGCAGTCGCATGTGGTTGGGCAAAGTGTGAGTGTTCCTACTTCTTTCAAGACGTCTGGCCAGATATATACTGAATGTGCTGTGCCAGGTTCAGGTCAATGACAAATTTGGCAGAAATGAAGCCTTTGCCTCCAACAACAACTACCATTGACCACTTAGTGGTGGCGACGTCACCACGGCACCTGTTCCAGGTCATGTGCACTTTGAGGCCACGTGAAGTGTTGAACGCTTGCTGACATGGGTTGACCGAGATGATTGGCAGATGCACCAGCTGTACCCCTACTGTGCTAACTTGCTGTATTTTAGCCGTCCGGCTCGTTGTTGTGAGCGTCGCTCCTCTACCCTGTACACACACACCTATGCATACACACACACGGATGGCAGAGCCACGAGGAGATGGAGTAATGGGTAGATAAACATGAGAGACACGGTGAGAAACAGAGACCCCCCCCCCCCCACTCGCCACTGGGACCTCCTTGATTGCCTTTTGTGACCTGTCGTGAAACATTTACAATTTCCTCTCCAACATACCGTGTTTACTCTCCAACACACCGGTGTGCTGAACTAGTAACTAAGGGCACGTCTAGTTTACGTGACAAACCTTATTAATTGGGTGTCGGGTGATGGCAGCTTTGATACATTTATATTTACGCGATCTAACCCACACACATACCTTCGTGGATAATATTGGTCGCGAAAGCCTCCGTGTTAAACAGTATAATAATCTGATTCTTAATTGGCCAGAGCGCTGCAGGGTGGCATAGGGCAGGGATTATTTGCATAAGGCACGGTCACTCGAGTACATCCTATATTATTGTGCCTTATACTCCAAATATTTTTTTAATCTAAAGGGTACAAGGGCAAAATAAGGCGAGATGGATGAGGCGTGCCGAAATTATTTCCGAAACAGCTGAAATGATGCAGTGATGAAGAAAGGCGCCTTCAATCAAATGCCACCAATTTACACGTGGGTCGGCGTGACGGCTGGCGAGGCCACGTGGTGCGCAACGAGCCACGCCCACTCAGCACCGTGGGCGGAGCTCGAGTCACCGGGGGCTGAGTGACGTCACCTCGCCTAGTTTTACATTCCCCAGTGTACATGGGAGCGGGGGCCTCGTCGCCTCCGCACCCACGTGACGTAGTCCTGTCTTATTCGCTCCATGAAATTCAAACTCGCCTTCGATGACGTCCGTTATTGGGCTGTACCAAATGCGCCATACGAGGCGGGGGAGTTTAGAGGTTGCCGAATCCAATAATGCTTTATAACCCGCGGAGCGACTACTGTAGGGTTCGAGGGAAGGCGGTCAATGGGTGGCGCTGTCTCTCCCCCCCCGTGAGGTTCGGCGGGTGGAGTAGCCCGCTCCGAGGAGCGGCCCCGTCTCCCGCCTCTTTCTCCTGCAGCGGCCACGGAACCGCCTCCTCCGCCGCCCGTCACTCGCAGCCTTCGCCCTAGACAACTCCGAAGGCTCCTTGTTTTCCAGTCGCTCGCGGTGTAGATGCCGCTTTGAAAACGAGGAGCAGCGGGAGGAGGAGAGGGGGGACTGGGAAGAGGAGAAGGGGAACGGGCGTGGGGCGGGCAGGGCTCGCTATTGTGCGCGGGGGCGATGGCAGCGGCGGCGACCCGGCTCGTGCCGCTGCTGCTCGTCGCATAGCCTCGCCCGTCCGCAGCCGACACCAACAGCAGCAGCAGCAGGAGGAGGAACAACATCACCAGGAAGAATAAAAGCAGCAGCATCTCGGACAACCACCGCGGTCGGTATGGACGAGCACCCAGCCTTGCAGGTTGGCTCGCCCGGCCTCAAGCAGCTCCAGCAGCAGCCGTCAGGGGGATCCGGGCAACAACAACAACAGCAGCAACAACAGCAGCAGCTACTGCAACAGCAACTCCAGATGCATCAGCAGCAGCAGGGCGGCGAGGGGGGCAGTGAGTCCGGCCGGCCTCACTACTCGATGCCGGGCATCCTGCACTACATCCAGCACGAATGGGCGCGCTTCGAGATGGAACGGGCCAGCTGGGATATGGAACGCGCGGAGCTGCAGGTAACGAGGGGGTTGGTGGTGCCTCGTGGTGATGGATGTCCTCAACATCGCCACCAGCCGATGGTGTTGATGTTGTGGGGGCCGTGCTGAGGGGAAGAGGAGGGAAGCGTCTCCCGTCTCCGCCATTTTGGAGTCAAAATGGCGATGGCGGCGCGTATTATTTTATTTTATTTTTAAAGAGCGCAGCCGAGATTTGCGAGGGGTCCTCTCGTGGCCGCGCCGCGCCCCCCCCCCCCTCGCTGGGAGTCGTTTCCCGCGTGCGCGACAGCGCGAAGGGGCTCCTCACCAGCCCCCTCGCCTTTTGTCTGGAGGCGCCGCGAACCCGCGGAGCCGCACTGTACAGGGTACAGTGAGGGCGGCCACGGCTCGGCTCTGCCGGGCGCGGCTCCTTCCTGGGTTCCGTCTCTCAAAGTTGTTCATTTACCAGTGTCCCGTGTGGCTCTTGTCGTTGTGCGTTGTCATGTTCCTTCATCTGGAAGCCCTGTATGTGTGCGGTCATGTCTGTGTGCGCGTGGTTGTCTGCGTTCGGCCGTGTCTGTTTTTGTGTGGCCGTATCCGTGAATGCAGCGCGTGGCCATGTCTGTGTGGCTCTTGTGTTTCTACGGTCCTGTCCGTCTCGCTGGTCGTGTGCGTGAATGTGTATCCCGCGGACGTGGCAAAGTATCTACGTCCTTTTCCATGTTCAGTAAAATACTTTTGGATGTAGAAAACATTTTAAAAGTGACATCGATTAGACCATTATAGTCGGCAACAGCTGTGACACCTTCCGTAAATCACAGTCACATGACACTAGTGGTTGCCATTAAAGAAACAATTCCGTATGAAAAGCAGTCAACTTAACTCCATACATTTGCTCTTAAACAGAGATGTTTTCTTATGGAAACAGACTCTGTGTGTGTGTTCACGTAACGCCGTGTCTGGATCTCTGTGGCCTCGTGTCACCCTTCAGCGCGTATGATCTGGTCTGTCTCTGTACGAGCCGGTTGGTTCTTGTACTTTCCAGTCTCTCTTTCTACAATACATTCCCCTTATTCAGTTTAGTCCTCAAGAGTCTGAATGCTTTCAGCAGGCTCCAACATTGGGATGTTTAACCTATTCCATTTGTAAATGTTTGGCATTTTGGGGATGAAGCTGGTGTACGCAGAAAGTAAACGAATGATGAGCTATATTCACTAACACTCAACTCCGAACAGATGGAGTCAGAGATCGGTTGCTGTGCTGCCATGTTGTAGACACCTTACAGCCTAATACTACAGCGTCTCCTATTATAAAGCAATTAACCAGGGTGAAACGTACGTGGCTTTATAAGATATCTTCAGGTTGGGCTCGTTCAGTGTGATACAATCACATGGCCAAATTATGTTAATGTGGTCCTGTCAGTCCCTGTCTGTAAGGCCCTCTTATCCGTGTCTATGGCATTATCTTTGTTTTCCTCTCCTTCTGCTCTGCCTGTGATCACATTTTTGCTGCTATATGGTACCCGTCTATTTCGCCTATCTGTCTAAATTACGTGTTGTCTTGGTCTGTGACTGGTCCTATCTAATTTGGTGTATTTGCTACTATCTCTATGGTAATCTCGTTCTTGTGACTTCCACTCATGGCTTTGTTTGCATGAATGTCTGTACTCCTTTCCATCTCTCTGCCTTGTCTCCTTATCTCTATGACCTTGTTTGTGGAGCCTTGTCTGCCTCTCACTCTATGACCCAGTGTTTTTGGCTTTGTTATGCCATATAATCCTGCCTTTGTCTCTCTGGTGTTGTCTGTCTCTCCTTGTCTATCTCTGTATACCTGCCAGGCTGTTCATCACCTTGTCTTTTCTGGCATTGTATGGCAAATATGTCCTTGTCTCTGTCTTGAAATTCTGTTATCGTTAGTGTTTTCCTGTGTCTGCTACATTGTGAATCATAAGGTTTAAATGTGTGTGCCTATCTGTCATTCCCCATTTGTGTCTGTTTTGTCGAATCATCTCTTCCCTTTTAGTCCTTTCACTCCATGCTTGATGTCATTGCTGGAAAGAGATACTCTTACCAGTTTACTCTTGATTCATCTGTGTGGTTGACCACTGAGATTGTCTTGTCAAACGGAACGTGCTTTATCAAAGTTGAGATTTTTCCGATGATTGAGTATTGCCCATTTGACAGAGATTGTTGCTTTCGGGCAGGCATTGCCACCTGAGCTCCCTTCAACAAATACAGCCAACCCTAATGGTTTCTGTCAGTCCGAGTAGTAATGTTTTTGTTTATCGCATTGTGCTTGACATTTAGTCCAGACTCAACTCGCTGTCCAGTGATGTTGAAGCTGGATCCTTTTGTGGATCGATACCTAATATTGATGATCTTTGCAAGTTACATGGAAGCTTTCATTGATTTGAATTCGATTATTGTTGATACTGCTTTAGAGTCTGTACTCGTAACCTTAGATTCATTACTGTATGGTAGGAAAATTGATTCTGAAGGTGGAAGTCATGTTTAAGCGTTTAGCATGAGAGTTGAATCTTTCTAGAACTTTAGCATCACATTAACTTCCGAGTTGTAATTTTTGGGGGGCTAATTATTATTTTTTATAGTCGTGAAGTTTACATTTGTGCCAAATTACAACAGCATCACACTTTGACAACAGCATAATTTATGTAACTCAGTCACAATCACCGGAGGTTCTGTATGAAAAAAAACTATTGGCTTCAGAAATCGAATTGACCTCAACGAAGATGTATTGAAACATGGAGATTGCAAGTTGTAACATATATCTTTGCTTTGCACGCTTGAGTTTATTGCTAGAGTATTGTAGTTTTTTTTTACTTTGGTTATAACCCTCGAATATGAATGATGCATTTCTAAATAAAGAATATTTTTTACGACAAAAGAGATGCTTTAATATGTAACATTAAAACTACGATATAATTGAACAGTATGCTAGATACAAATGATCTCTGAGCTCCCTAATTACTCGGCTATCCAGCAACCCAAGTCCTTTCGAAGCACTAAAATGTGCTCTCGGAATTCTTGTTCCCTGCCTGTGTTCCTTGGCTCATGAGCCCTCAAACTTCGTGTTTACAAACCCAAGACATGGACAGTGCTCATCTGTGTTGATGGCCTGGAGTCAATGGTGCAAATTACACAGTTCTTTAACATGGACCGGTCCTTTTTACATGACAACCAGAAAACCTAACCCAAGATCACAACTCATTCCCGGCCTCTCGTTTTAAACCTTGGCTTAACCATAGCCTTAAACCCACTTCTCCCTCTTATTGGAATAAGAAGCCAACTTGAGCCATGTGGAGGCCGACAGATGCAGGGTGCCCGGGCTGGGCAAGGAGACTGGTTCTCCAGCTCCTGTCACCCGACACCGGACCCAGCTGTCGTGCCCGGTCAGTGGGGCCGTTACTTGAAACCGCGCACATGTACGGGTATATATATAACGCAATGGGTCTTAATTTTAGACGAGTATTATTTTATCCTCGCGCCTTGGACTTTTTGCTATGAAGACACAACCGAAAAAACTAATAGCGGTTTTTGTTGTTGATACAAACCTAGACTCTGTACTGTACTGTTGGACACCATTTTATTTGGTTAATGAGATAAAGGACTTTCAAATTAGCATCAAGTGCGTCATTGTTGCACCCTAGTAACATCGTGCAATGCCACTCCCATACATTTAATTACAACAGTGCAGGCATGTTGGTTGTGCAGTCTTGTTGGAGAGCCAATATTTGTCACAACCAATGTACGTATCTGTGGGTTACTGCTGCAGCGTTGTGCATCATTGGTGGATTTGTCAATGATAGACCAAAAGCGCCATATGTGAATGTCTATATTGCAGCGCAAATAGGTAGGGCGTGATTGTTTTCGACTGTCATTGATTTTTATGACATTGGGTACATATTTTTATATCTTCAGTGGTTTGAGTGAGATTTGTGCGTTTTAATAATTGCCTTTGATTTGTCCATGGAAGTCTCACGGACTGTCAAAAATCTGAATGCTTGGCCAATTCGATTTAGGGTTTTTTTATGTGCAAGGGAACCGGATGAGGGTATAACACTTCTATAGGTCCACATTTGTTCACAAACCCATTTGATTTATTAGCGTCTTCTGGGCACCTCACATCCTGGCGGGTTGGAGAGTTTCATAAACCAATGCCTACAAGAGTACTGGATTATGGTCGCCCGGCTGAAGGCCCCCATGCCCAACTCGCATCATTGTGACGCTCGTCAAGGCATTGTCAGACCACCAGGTCATCCTGTGCTCAATAGGAAGTCATTTCTCCTCTGCTGCCCCTACTGTATGGAGTAGCCTCTCCCACATTGTCAGCACTGCTTGCTCACTCCCCCTGTTCAAGTCCAGGCTTCACACTCTCATGTTCTCCTCTGCCAATGACTTCGCTCCTTAACTGATATTTTGTATCACCTACTCTGCAGGGTGATGTTTTTCTTGCACACTCATACCATCACCACTCCCAAACTCTCAACGTCTTTTCCTCGGGGGGAAAATCTCGGGTTTTCCCTGCCGCAGTCCTCTTTCCATCGCCTGATGGTGCAAATGTCTCCTATTTTTACAGACTCTTTTGATGCAGTCACAATACGTCATTGTCTTGAATTTAAATTTGAGTGAAACGTTTATCAAAAGCCCCCGTCTTGTGTAGGATTCCACAAGCAAAATGGCAGGCACACGTGTCTTGAGATCTTTGAGCTATAAAGGGCCTGAGCAGGGCTGGGTGTAGTGCAACATCTAAGTGGTAAATGTAATAACTGCAGCCCTGCTGACCTGTCCATGGCTCCATGGAGAAGCCCAACAGAAAGATATCTCGAGCTGCCTTTGTTAGCAAATAGCGAGTAATAGGGATTGTGCAGTTTTAATAATATTTGCCTCTACCGAATTAGTGGCTAATAATTTGCAACGTGTACTTTATTGGGTTTTCGCAGTAACTGATGGTCAAAGAGGGACTGGTAAGTAGGACAATAAATGATTTGTGCCGAGTTTAGCATTGTGTATATTCGTTTCCTA